AGGCCAAGGGTTTGCCTCCTCTGTATTTGCGTCCGTCTTCTGTCATTTGGCATTATTTGATTTTACCCACGTTGTATATATAGGTAGCTAGTTTCTTTTTAATTGCTGGATACTATTCCTTTATATGGACTCCACTGCGGTTTGTTTATCCATTCACCTGTTGGTAGGCATTTGTGTTATTTCCATCTTGAGTTTATCGTGAATAAAGCTGTTACGAACATTAGTGTGCAGCTGTGGCTCTGTGTTTGCATTTCTTCTGACTGACCACATCATATCTTTGCCAATATTTGATGTTGTCAGCCTTTTACAGTTCTCTTCTCTTTTCTTTCCCAAAAGACCAGCCTGGGAAGCTGCTTTGATCTTTAAGTTTGTAAAGGAAGTTTAAGGCCCTGGGGGTGTGAGGAGGTTCATGTCTGCGGACAGTTGGATAATGGTCTGAGGTGGATGATGTGAAGGGTTCTCTAGAGGCTCTTTGAGAGAGAACTATAGGACATAAAAAGTTTATTTCTACCCCATCATGTCTAGTCCCTCGTGACTTCAACATTTTAACAGACATTATTATTATAGGAGTCTATAGCCCAGAGCGACCCACAAGCCTGGAGATGGGTGTTGCTGACGGCCTTCCGCCCCTTGCTTGGCTCTGGCACCGTCCAGCAAAACCCATTGCAGCGACAGCCACGAGCCACGTGTGCCGCTCGAAACGTGGCAAGTGCAAGTGAAGAACTTTTAATTCTAATTCATTTTAATTTTTTCATATGTGTGTGTTGCTCACTTTATTGAACAACGCAGTTCTAAAGTGTTATTTTTCAGGAAAGATGGTCTTACAAGAAATATACTCATTGAGTGGGACTTGTCAGCTGAGCTGGCTCTGGGGCAAGTTCATGTTTTCCCTCCCACATCCCTTTCCTGTGGGGAATTTATGTGTCTCTGGAGAGCTGTCCCCAAGGCCTGCAGCACCCCAGACAGAGGGAGAACCACTGGACTCAGGACTGCCGCAGCGTGGGCAGCGGCAAGTTAGTGGGTAACCGGCTCTCCCAGTCAGGTACTGTGTTTTTTTCCTGCTGAATTTGCCCCACTAAATTCTTTAGTGGATGGGAAAGAATATACTTTATCCAGTTTTTAAAGTGAATCTTTGGATAAAATTATGTCACTTAAATTCAAAAGCTGTATAACATCACCCAGAGGAGTCCTTGGTTAAATCCCCAATTTTTCAAGGAAGAGAAACAAATTCTCTTTCGGTCTTCTCTAAGCTCTCAAATAAATAGTGATATAATCACTTCCACCAAAGTTTCATTCTTCTGAGTGGGAATGAATGAATAATTTCTTACATTTTAAATTGTTAGTGAAAACATTTTACAGCCTTCCAACAGCTAAATGTTCTAGTCGCTCAGATTACTATACTCATATAAAATTGCTCATCATTTTTGTATTTTCATTTCTCAATAGCTGCATGGGTCTAGTGGCTGGGCTCTTATTATTCTTTCCTAGAGGCAAGGTCAGTATCAGAAAAACTGGGGACTTTTCCCTTGGCATTACCGTGGAAAGTAAACAGCCGCTATTTTGGGGACTTACATTGTGACGAGAAAACGAGACGCCCTGCTTGGCTTTTACCATAAAGACACAGATGCTTCTGATTCCAGCAGGGAGGCCTTTTGCTCGCAGCATCTGTTTTAGTTGGCCAGATGGATGACTTCTAAAGATTTTTTCACTGTTGTTTGAAGGACACCACCTCTTTGACAAGTAAACAAGTTTACAAATGAAAAGGTTAACAGCGTTTTGTAATTTTTGTATTACTTTGGCATCAGTTCTCTGCCATTTTGGGCTACTAGATAATTAAGTTATATCACTTGCTAAATAACCTTGACATGTCCTTTGTATGCATCATTCTTTGAATTGTCTACTTTGCAGTCGAGATCGCTTTGTGTTGGTCCATAAGTTCATTTATTCACACATGTTTGATGAGCCCTCACTGTGTGCCAGGCCCTGTACTGCCCCTGGAACCGCAAACTGGGCAGAACAGCCTCAGTTCTGGAGAAGCGCTCTGTCTTTTATGGAATGCACACGTGTAAACAGACGGGAAGGTAAAAATGCAGTTAGGTGCTTCCACTAGAAGTTTATCCTGTCAGTTTTGTAGGGAAGGCAAGGTCAGAGTGGATGCCCGAAACTGCAAATAGTACCAAACCCTGTACCTACTATGTGTTTCCCGATACAAACACACCCATGATAAAGTTTAATTTATAAACTAGGTGCAGTAAGAGATTAACAGTAACTAATAATAAGACAAACAATTATAACAATAGACTGTAATAAAAGTGATGCGAATGTGGTCTCTGTGAGCTGAACTGAGACAACTCTGGAGTGTCTGACGAGCAGGTGGCAAGTGTGGTGCGGACGTGCTGGGCAGCGGGAACCATTCAGGTCCTGGGCAGGCCGGAGGGGGCGGCACAAGATCCCGTCATGCTGCTCAGAGTGGCATACAACTTAAAACTTATGGACTGTTTTCCTGGAATTTTCCATGTAATAGTTTTGGACTGCCGTTGACCATGGGTAACTGCACCTGCTGAAGGCAACACATGGACGCGGGAGGACTGCTGTGAAAGAAAGAGCTTTGTAGGCGAAGGAATCCCCAGGGTGGGTGAGAAATGGAGAAGCTGGGCACGTTTTGGTCAGGTGTCCGGCCCAGCTGCGACCATGGGCAGGAATACCGTCTCATTCAGAAAGCAAACTTATGAAGCTAGACTTCATTCATCGCCTGTTCTAAATTAGTGATTTCCAAACAGTTTACCATGCATCCCCTAAGTAAGGAAATGTGTTGGTCTTGGTATCACATGTGTATATATATTTATAACATATATTTATAGTTTATATACACAATAAAACATATGCCAAAAGAAATAAGGGTGAGCCAAAGATGAAAAATATATGCTTATTTTTTCTTTTATTTATTAACAATAAGGAAAGCAAAGCGATGCTTCATTATTCCTTCATTATTCTAGTATTTCACGATCAGTTTCTGAATCCAGTTTATTTTGATCCTTCAGTTATCTTGCAAACCCTTCAGCTGCACATACTCCCACCTCAGAGACCACTGCTCTAGACCACTGGGGTCACTAGATCGAAACGGGCCCTTAGTTCAGGGGTATCAATCTCATTTTCATCCGCCTCACAGTTGCCTTCAAAGGGCCAAGTGTAATTTTAGGGACGTGTACATGTAACTGCTCCTTAACAGGTAAGCGAGGGCTCGGTGCCACTGCCAGGTGGAGACAAGGTGCTGGGCCGGATAAAACAGGGCGGAGGCCGCATTCGGCCTGTAGGCCTTGCATTTCCACCTGTGCCTTAGTTAAAACAAAAGCGAGGCAAAAAGTTACTTGTTTTCCTCTATAGGTTTGTGCTTGGGAAACAAATTGCAGATGCTGTGAGCAAAGAATCAGCTTTGGCTTGAGGCTTGAAGAAGGGGCACTTCAGTCATGAACTGACTATGGGTGTCATATTTTACCAACTAGGAAACTTTAGGGAATGGTGGAGGGTTATTGGTTAAATATTGTATATGGAGGAATGTTTTGCTAGCTAGTGTCTGTTGATCAAAAATTGTTATTTGCTGTTTTTAAAAAATATACCCTGTAATTGTCTTTGTTGAGAGATATTTGGAAGATGGTTTTCTCAGTCTGCAGGAGATACGGTTCATAGCCAGTTGGGATCTCTTATAGAAAGATAGTTTTGTTGTTTTTTTTAAAAATATTTTTTATTTATTTATTTTTTGAGAGAGGGGAAGGGAAGGAGAAAGAATGGAGAGAAACATCAATACATAGTTGCCTCTCGTGTGTCCCCCGCTGGGAACTGGCCCACAACCCAGGCATGTGCCCTGATTGGGAATCGAACTGAGATACTCTGGTTCGCAGGCCTACGCTCAATCCACTGAGCTACGCCAGCCAGGGCTAAAAAGATAGTTTTTAATAACCAAGTGCTGGAAACAGCAGAAGTGCCCATCAGTAAGTGAGGGGATCAAAAAACTGTGGCACATTTACACGATGGAATACTACGCGGCAGAAAGGAAGAAGGAGCCCCTACCCCACGTGGCAGCGTGGATGGAGCTGGAGAGCGTTATGCTAAGTGAAATGGGCCAGGTGGTGAGGCCAATACCATATGATCTCACTTTTAAGTGGAACCTAATCAACAAAACGAATGAGCAAAATATAACCAGAGACATGGAAATAAAGAACAAAATGACAGTGACCGGAGTGGAGCAGGGAGGGGAATAACGGAGCTAAAAGGGGAAGGGTCATCAGGGAACATGTGTAAAGGACCCACCGACAAAGGCAGTGCGGGGTGGAGAGGACTGAATGTGGGAGGTGGGGGTGGGCAGGGGGAGGGAGAGTAATGGGGGGGTGGGGACAACTGGAATTGCCCAACAATTGAAAAAAGAGTAAAGGAAAAAAGATAGTTTTCATGATGCACTTTATCAGATTTCTTAATTTACTTCATTGTGTTTGAATCAGTCAAAATTCTTCTCTTTGAAGAGGTAGAAACCCAACTCAAATAAGCTTGAACAAAAAAAGAGAATTTCTTAGCTTAGAACCAATGTTCAAGACTCAAGACCTTTACCTTGGTTGTCAGGTCTGTGCTGCTAAGCGTCTGTCTGTGTGTGTTGCCTTTGCTTTCTCTGCGGTAGTTTATCCTCTCTCAGAGCAGGAAGTCTTCCTCCACGTGGTGGTGAGGTCCGGGAGGGTGCCTTTCCTCCATCGCCGGTCTGTGTGCCATCCCACGGGTGGAACGAGACTCTGTGTGGCTGTGCGCACTGTGACCAGCACACCCACAGAGCACGTGGAATGAGGAAGGAACCGTTTTCCTAAGAAAGGATTTGCTCTTACCTTATGACGGAGTGCTGGGGGTCAAAAGCAGTTGTTTACAACAGGTGGGGCAGCACAGAGGCTAGGAAGGCTTAAACTGTTCTTCTCATTTACAAAAGATCATTTTATTTTCCTAACCCTTGATTTCTACAGAGTATGCAAGCTGCGAGATGTCCTACAGATGAATTGTCTTTAACCAACTGTGCAGTTGTGCACGAAAAAGATTTCCAGTCTGGCCAGTGAGTATTTAACCTTGTTTTTCTGCTAGCCTGTTAAGTGGTATTTTAGAAAGTTCTAGAGAGCCCTTATTTTTTAGTAAACTTAAGAATAATTTTGTGTTCCTCTAGGAATTTTGTGATTCCTAAAAAATGGAGGTGAGAGTTATGTATTTCAGTCTTTACTGTGTTAAATTTTTGTAACTATAATGTTTTTAAAATCATGCATTGCTTTTTACAACTTTCATTTTATTATCGATTTTCTTAGCAGAACTAAACATACTGGTTATATGAGAATAGCGTGGTCACTAGTTTTTCGGCTCTGGAGTCGGTTATCTGAGTTTGGGTTCTGGCTCTGCCAGTTGCGAGCGCGATGACTGTGGATGAGCTCACCTGTGAAATGGGGATGAGGGTGATATCTTCCTCAGCGTGTTTGTGAAGAGTTAAACGGATGCAGCACTTAGAGCAGTGCCTAGCACATTTGAGTCCTCAGGACATGTTTGCCATTTTGGTCATCGCTACTATGGTACTATAAGAGACATGAAAATTGGGAGAGGCACAACAAATGTAGGATCTTTACAAGCACTTTTCCTGGTCATTTATTTTAACTGATGCGTGTCACCCACTGCCAGAACTTCTGAAGGCCCTGCACTTGGGTGCCATCGCATACTTCCAAAGCCAGGAGAGGTCAGGAGATGAAGGGGCGGCACCGGAAGGCAGGCTAGGGAGATAAGGAACAATGAAGCAGGGTTTTAACCGAACCTTTCTTTGCGTGTTTTTTTTAAAGCTTTCTATGAAATACGTGAGTTTCCCAGAGTTAGAATTGGTAGTAATCTCTGGTTGTCAGCTTTGGAGGAAGGGCTGTACTGTGTGATCGTATCGATACTGTTTTCAGTTCTAAAACTTCTGTGATGCTAAGTTGACCGCAGACCTCTCCACACACAAACTGGAGTGTAGATAGTCCGAGAATTTGTGTGGAATTCTTCCCCAGGTGTCGGGCGCGCGCTGCGCTCACAGCCGGGCTGCTGACAGTGCGGCAGCCACGTGGGGCTCGTGCGCCGGTGGCAAACTGGTATGCGTAGAAACATTGACGTTGGTATTAAAAAATTATAGCATCCTAAAAGATAATTTAAAAAAGAAAGTGTGTAACAGTTTGGAGCTTCTGTCTCGCACCCAGTTCTTGGTAGTTTCTCTGGGTAAGAGAATATTATGAAACGACTAGATTTTATCCGTTTATGGGTAATTTCTGAGCAGGGTGAATTAGCACAAAATGTTTTGAAATAGTAAATGTTGACATCTATATGAAAGCTGATATATTTTGTGAAAAATATTCTTGCCATCTTTTTAGTTTTACGGGTTGTTACTTGTTTCCACCTGTGCAAGTCTGCAAAGAGATTTAAATACTTGTCCTAAAAACTAACCTTTTTTTGGACTGTCATATCCTGCTTCTTCTGTCTTCGATTCTCCCCCCTTTATTCGATCTTGGAGGTGAAATGATTTTCAGGAGAAAAAATGTGTCTAGTTTTTCATTAATACTAAGGACTGCAAACTACTGTCACCAGTGTTATGGAACGTGGAACGTAATGAAATCGATGTGTCGGGTGGCGTGTGCTCTCTTGGACCCGGTCTCCGTTCTGTCTGATGCACGTCTGGCCCAGGATTCTCCTTACGCGTGGGAAGCATGTTGAATTGCTGAAGTTTTGGAAATGAAATCTGTGGTCCTGGTCCTTCAGGACTCTCCTGCAAGGCTGTGTTTCCACCCGGCGCTCACTGAGTCTCGGCTGTGGGACACCAGCACACGTGGAAATGGTGTTGTTTGCCCACTCTGACGCGGAGTGCTGACTGTGTTTCTGTCTCTCAGGCACGTGGTTGTGAGGACCTCTCCCAACCACAGGTACACGTTCACACTGAGGACCCACCCGTCCGTGGTTCCAGGCAGCATTGCGTTCAGCTTACCTCAGGTAACTCCGTGTTGATTTACTCTCTCCCATTCTTGAAAGTCGTAGCCGAATCCATTCATTTAAAGCAAGCGTCAGTCACCCCGTCACTGTACGATGCACACCGAAGAAAAAAGACCTAGGTGATACCAAGGAATTTAAAGACATCCTTTATTGCCAATTTTACTGTGTCTACCTTTTATTGCCTTGATTTTTCCTAATTAAAAATATTCTAAAGTAATATCAGCTATGGAATAAGGTGTCAAGTTACTTTAATGTCAACTCCCAGGGTAACAGAGAGGATATAAAAATAACATTTAGTGTAAAATTGGCATAAATGCAGTGATGTCAAACTAACGAATATGATACGAGCAATTGTTCTCTCAAATTACAACCTCACTTGCTGGACTCCCGTAATGGCTGTTGGTGGATTCTCAGAGGGAAATTACCCAGTGCTGCCCCAGGCACGTAGTACGTAACCTTAGGAGCACCACAAGTACCAGTCTGTGTCCTTTTCTCCCTTATCTTGCTGATGCTGCTATTCCCACAGCCATAAGCATTGTAAATACTAACCCTGGCTGCTTCTAGTATGCTAATAAGCCTTGATTTACTCCTCTGGAGGTTTAGGGAAAGAGATCAAACACTCATTTTGGGAACTATTAAATATCTCCTGAAGCTCTCAGAAATTAATGGAAAATCTTCACTCACTGTCCCCTTTTCCCTGTTTGGGTGCATTTCCAAGATCACTTTTCACATTTGTTTCTATAGATCAGAGGTTTGGGGTAGTCCAGGGTTTGTCAGCTTTCACCTAGCTCCATTCGGGAACATGCTGGTTAGAAACAGGGTTTCTGACTATTTCTCCTTTTCTTTCTACTATTAGAAAAATTTTTTCCAGAATTTACTGTAGGCCAAGTATGAGCCCAAGTACTTCTGCATTATTCACTCATTTAATTCTGGAAACAACCTCATACCAAGATACTATTATTATCATCCTTTGAGGTTACCTTTGGGACTGAAGTACAGAAGCTAAATGTGGCTTCTCTGTGAGCCCAAGTCTGGGCTTAACCAGCATGCTGCTGCGTTTCAGGTGGGCTGTGGGTGGGATGGGATGTTGCAGAAGAGGGGTGTGAAGGGCAGGAAGGAGGGAGACGTGACCTGTGGTGAGAAAGCTGGAAGGGAGAGAACTTAACGTTGCATGAATTTAAAATTCAGCATCCTCTTCACTATTCACCACAAAACCTGCGATATTCAGATGGGTAAACAAACTGTTGACTTTCAGCAAAAAATTATTTTTCTCACTGTTCTTTGCAGTGTTATCAGTGATTACTAATTTTGAACATATTCCAAGCCAGTCCCGAATTCCTGCCTCAGCACCATCTGGCCTGCCTCTGTGCATTGTTGCTGGTACAACCACTTACGACGCAGGGAGAAGCCAACGCCTGGCTGCAGAGGCCTGAAAACCCTTTGGCTAGTACACGACCACTAGTTGTCACCACCTGATTATTTGGATCCCTGCTTGGGTTTCAGTATATGTGAGGGGGCGTTTGCCCTCAAATCCTCTTGTCTGCCACGGATGAAAGTAAACACTACTAAGACATGATCTGCTTGGGGAGGAGTGGTGGCCAGTTTCTCAGAGGAAAAAGGCCAGGAGCCTCTTCCTCCAGGGGTTTTATTGGGTTGTAATACACAGGAATACAGGGTGGCAAGGAGCAAACAGTAGATAACATTGCAAAGAAATCTGAGGGCTTAGTCTGAGTCAGAGTCTGTCAGGAAGGGGGTTTGCAGAAACTTTGGGAGACATACTCATGTCCTGCTCGGACCCTTAACATATGAATGAAAGCACTCCTAGCAAAGCAGGTTTCACAGGTTTTTCAGGAATTCTTTCTTATGCCAGATTTCCCCTGGATCCTCTAGCAAGGCAAGGAGCTGCACCTCTCCCCATCAGGTTTTCAGGCTTAAGTGGATTAGAGCCAGGAAGTGCTTCTCCCAGAGGACATAGGGAATCGGGCTATGTCACACAGCCCTGGGGGCAAGGGTCCATTGTTCCCTCTTTGTTGCAGCCCCCGAGTCCTTCCCTGATGGCCTCCCAAGTGATCAAGTCTGGCTTAGGTTGCCCCCCTCTCTGTGAGGAGTCTTACCCATCATTGACTTCCGACCAAGCTTTGGGGGCAGGGAGAGGAAACTGAGGCAGCATTCACTACCAGAGACAAGACTTGTCTCCTGTGGCTCGCATTCCGGAGGTCACTCACTCATCCTTATCCCTAGGGGGTAGTTAGAATTCCTGAAACCAGGCAGAGCAGTCCCCAACAAGTGTATATTGTCTGACCAGTTTTAATTTGAAGTATGAACTGTTTTTTTCCCTTTGTGATACTGTAACAAACAGCATAACTAACTACAGTACATTTAGAACACTGAAATATTACCTAATAATACTACAAAGACCTTCAGGAGTATTAAATTATCCAGTGGTGCCGGCTTCACTGTAAAAAGGCAAGCTTGGTATGTTTGGGGTTGGACGTTCAGATACAAACTGTAGCACGTAAGTTTCCTAGGCTGTGTAGCAAAGCACCACAGACCCAAGGCTTCCAGTGACAGAAGTTCGTTCTCTCAGTGCCGGAGGCTGGAAGTCTGAAATCGAGGTCTCAGCGGGGCCACGCTGTGTCTGGAGGCCCTGGGGGAAAATCCGTTCCATGCTTCGCTTCTTGTGTTTCGGACAGTCCTTGATGTCCTTCGACTGGTGGACGCATCACCGAGTCTCTGCCTCCATCGTCCCCTGATTTTCTCCCCATGTGTCTGTGTGCCTTCTTTTCTTACAAGGGTGCCAGTCATGTTGGCTGAGGACCCACCCTAATTTGATATGACTGCCTCTTAATTTGATTACATGTGCAAAGACCCTTCTTCCAAATACAGTCACATTCACAGGTGCCGGGTTGAAGTCTTCAATGTGTCTTTTTGTGGGATGCAATTCAACATATAAGAGATACCATGTTTTGTTCTTTGAATGTGTTCCTGAAATTCAGAGAAATTCCTCTTCATTTATCTAATTTTGATTGATTTGGCTTTGTCTTTTTTTTTCCTCTTTTATTTTACAGCGAAAATGGGCTGGACTTTCTATTGGGCAAGAAATAGAAGGTAGGTAAATACTTTAGCCACCTGAGGAAGATTTTCTTTATGACTTTCTCGTAGTTACGGAGATCTGCACACCTTCCTGTTCATGGCGGTTAGGTCCTTACACGTTCGTCGCGGTCGTGTCCCTGGTTAGGTCTAGGAGGTGGGATAGTGAACAGCTGTGGTGCCTGCGTCCCTGCCTCTTTATCTGCCTGCTGTTCTGCCTGGAAGCTACAGTCTAACAGGGGAATGAATATCCACATATTCATAACTCGCAGAATCTGTACAAGGTAAATATGTGCATAGACATTATCATTAGGAGCTCGTGTAGAAGTGCTGAGATAGAATGGGAGAGGATGGATCCAATGGAGACTGGAAAATGAGCCCGGAGAGCCTTTGGAGAGCTGGGGTTTGAGCATGGCTGTTTTCGTACGCGATGGTGACACTTTTGAGGAGTACATTTATAAAGTAAGGAGCTGTCGGATAAAGGTACAAAGCATCAGTTGCACAGGATGAACAAGTTACAGTGACTATAGCTAATGGTGTATATTGTTTACTTGAAATGTGCCAAGAGGGCACAGATGAGACACAAGATTTACCTTAAGGATTTTTTTGTCTTTAAAGTCTGGTATCCTCATTAGGATCTTTTTTGGAATTGGTCACTCTGTGTCCATGACCTGGGTGTACAAGGGGTTGTTATAGTATGTAGGTTTAAGTTTTCTTTTACTTCCACAAAGTTTTCTTAGATTATGATTTCAAATATTAATTCCATCCCGATTGTTTTGATTTTCCTCTCAGGGGCTCCCATTACATCTGTGTTGGGCCTTCTTTGCCTGCCTTTCTCTCTGTTCTTTTAAAATTGTTTCTTTATCTTATTTTTCGTCATCTTGGTTGTTTTTCTGTCATTCTTTGCTGCCCCTTACTAAATATTAATTTGAATATATTCTTTCAGGTACTTTGTAATTATTCTTTACTGCTGAATTAGTTTTGTCTTTTTTCTTTTCAGTTTCTTTCTTGAGTTTAACAAACTCTCATTGCATTTCTTGTGTTTTTCTATTTGTTTTTAGTTTTTCTGACTTTAGGTGTTTTTATCATATAGCTAAATACTTGTTTGAGGATAATTATTTTTTGAGTTGGAACTCAGATGTTGGGGTTATCTTTAGCTGGCTTTGTGTTTTTCTTTGTGGAAGTCATATGAGAGCTAAAACTTTTTGATTGGGGATGAAAATAAAAGAAATTACTTTAGATATGGGAAGCTGGTGACAAGGGTTATATAATTAGGGCTTTCTAAATTTGCCTGAAAAACATTTGGGGAGTATGTTTTTAAAAGAGACTCCTGGGCCTCTCCGCAGGGTTGGAAGGGTGGAGTCTGTGTCTCGAATCTCAGTTTTTAACAATCTCTCTGAAGTGGTTCTTATCAGCCGCATTTTGGGCAAAACTGACGTAAGCGGTTCCCTTAACTCTCACCCCCTCATCTGTGGCACAAGAGTCAGTGGGAGAGGTTGGCACAGAGTCGGTCAGTGCATGAAGCAGGGATTCTCTGTTTGCAGACATTAGCAGAAATAAAAATGAACACTTGTTAAACCTAATGAGAAAATAGGTGGGTACATAGCTGAGGTTTCTCATTTCCTTAAACTTCTTTTTCTAAATATGAAGTAAAGAGTGAGCTTCAGTTTAACTTTTAATGTACATAAATTTTGTTTTGAAATGGTGTGAACATTCAAGGTTGTAAATCTTGATGAACTGAAAATGTGTTTGGTGGCTTCAGTTATTTTTAAAGCATTCTTCCGCTACCAGCAATGCTTATCTTGATTGTAAAGTCAGCCCTTTAAAAGGTGAATCAAACAGACTTATGGGCAGAATTATAAAACCAAGTAACTTGGGGGGACTAAGCTGGAGCAGGTTTGAGACAAGGAAGGGCGTGGGGGCCTGAGGGATGCAGATGGTGCAGCCCTGAAAGTAGCAGGCTGGTCCCACGAGAGGAAGACGTGGCCCAGACAGGGTGGGAGTGGGTATGGAGCGGACCCAGAGACTCCGGAGCCACAGCTCTGTCTGCAGGGGGAGGGTTTCTTAGTCAGGTCCGTGGTTTTACTCTCAGGAATCTTCTGGAGGAAGCATTTCATCTTGTCTTCATCTGAAAATGCCATATTTTAAGTGTTACAGGCTGATGTTCCATGAACATGTTTGGCTGTTATAGTATATCTATCACTATGATATCTAAGTTTATTCAGAGTATTGGTATAATTGTTTTTACTTATAAAATAGGTTTATTAGTCTTTGACATTAAATTGCTATTAGCCATAAAATAAGAAAACATGTTCAACCTTCTGACCCTTTTATGGCACCTGTCCCCATGGGGGCTGCTGGTGGTGCTGCTGGTGGTGCAGCCCACGGCGCTGCCGCGATTCTGTCCCTGGCACTGCCCACAGCATGCCACCCGCTGTCAACAGCCTGGTCCTTTCTGTTTAGGACATTGACCTAGATCAAATGCACGTGAAAACTGTAGTCAGTAATGATGATGCTTTAATATGCTTATTCAAAGTCCTTACTATCGAGCTGATACACACATGTATTCATATGTGTGTATGCACATAATGTAGTGCAGTATGTCATTATAGAATTGCTTTGGAGTCTTTAATGTACAAAATGGCATCGTACTATACAAATCTTTCTGCAATATCTTTTTTATTCAGTGATATGCTTTAATGGGCCATTCATCTGTATTAAATATACGTCATTTTAATTGCTGTGTAGTATTTCATATTTGTCATATTTGATTCATCATTTCCCTACCGATGAGCATTTTTTCAGTGTTTGAATATTACAGATAATGCTTTGATAAAACTCTCTATTGATCTGTTCTTAAGCAAATGTTCAAGAGTCTTTCTGGGACAGGCACCGGGAAGTAGAGTTGCTGAATCAACTAATTGAGACTCACATTAATATTGCATCCTGTACACATCTCCACTGTGTGGGGAGACAGCTGAGCTCTCTTGCTTATGTTACTTGGCATAGAACCTGCACTTTCTGGGGCGTGTTAGGAAAGAGCAAAGTGTTAGGAAAGAGCAAAACATCCAGAAGTGGAGGAGGCAGGAGAGTATTCTAAAGCTTCCTGCTGAGATTTGAGATGTGATCTTCAGTACATATTCCATCTCTTAGCCTGGCTTTCTTGTTCATTTGCTTTTGAAGATGCTTATCTTTAAATATGTGTATCCTCCTTTATGATAGAAAATCAGAACATAAAAATATTATTACACAAGCAATCTTATTCAAAGGATTTAGAGAAAATCCTGTATATAACTTGAGTAGCTAGACTATAAGAAGTAAGTTTAGAACATAATTTAGAGGATAAAATCATGAAGATTTATCCAGTCTAGTCTTCTTATCTTATAGATGTGACAGATCAAGGCACAAAGAGCTAAATGATTCTTCTAGTTACTAACAGACTCTATTGTTATGAAACAGACTCCAAAGTTTGTGTTTCCTCCTTTGTTATTAGCATGGAGACTACGGTAGGTTTTCCTGTTTATGTTTGGTGTTTTGCTGTTGTTTCATTTAAACAGTTCATGAATATATGAAGCATCCTACATACACTGTTAGGTGCCATTAATACAAAGATGAGTTAAAAACATGTACAGCATGTGTAGAACTGACTGTAGTTCCTTGCATGTAGTAGGTGCTTAGTAAACATTTTTATAGTATTAAAAAAGAAATGTCAAACTCTAAGCTGCTTTGAAGCAAACCCCTGTAGTAAGCAGTATTTCTCAAGCCATTTGTTTATTTGTTTGTTTGTTTACTTTGGTCTTGCATCCTACTTCATTAGGGCAAAAGAGTCCACACACCTCTCACCTTAGCTCTTTCTGTGTCAAAGAAAAATCTGTTTGGCAACAGCATCTATGTCAGCGTCACTGGTACGTCAGATACTGTCATTTTGAGAAGGTGCAGAGGTCTTTAGGGGGCAGCAGTGGGCTGTGATGTCCCAATAGGAGTGGGGGGAGGAGGAAAAGTAGAAGTGTGTTGTTCACTATGTTCTAATTACTTCAGATGGGGAGGAAACTCCCAGGTGTTACTGCTGTGTTTTAAAATCTGCGCCTGTGCCCCCCCAATGAAGGCCAGGAAAGCCACCTTTTGGGCAGGTTCTGTTATGATTCATTTAAGTGAAACTATTAGTTACTCGAAACACAGCAAGTATTTTAAAAAACGCTTCTTTTCCCCACCTAGTGTCCTTATACACGTTTGACAAGGCCAAACAGTGCATTGGCACAATGACCATCGAGATCGATTTCCTGCAGAAAAAAAGCATCGACTCCAACCCTTACGATACGGACAAGATGGCAGCGGAATTTATCCAGCAGTTCAACAACCAGGCGTTCTCCGTGGGACAACAGGTGGACTGAGATTCTCCTTCATTCCTTTCGCCTTATAGGCATTCTAATCCCCGCAGCTGTCCACGGTCTTGCTACTTTTAAAACTCTGAGAGGAGCTTTGGTGTATCTAAGATGAGTGATAACAAGCGAGGGAAATGTTCCCCAAAATTCTAGTCTCTTTAGGCTGCACAGTGTCATATATAACTGCAGCAGCTTTTCCATCAGTGAATTTGGGAACACTGTAAATTTCTTACTTTGTCTCAAAATTCTTAAAGATTTTATTTATTTATTTTTAGACAGGGGAAGGGAGGAAGAGAGGGAGAGAAATGTTAATGTGTGGTTGCTTCTCATGTGCCGCCAACTGGGAACCTGGCCTGCAACCCAGGCATGTGCCCTGACTGGGAATGGAACCAGCGACCCTTAGGTTTATAGGCTGGCACTCAATCCACACTTATTTGTAGGGCAAATAAGCCCTACAAATTTTTTATTTGTCTTTGTGTGTCTTTCTCTTTTACTGATACATTTCTGTAGAAAAGTAGCTCTTAACTTTTTTTGGTTATGAACCTCCTTGAGAATCTTGAGGAAATTATGAATATATATATTTTTTCAGGTTTATCTATAGAACCTCTGAAGCCCTGCTTTGCTCTCTAAAATGATATTGTTGATGTCGGCCCTGGGTTTGGACTTCAGTTGACAGCATATTGTTAACCTCCTAGGAAGAAATTCTATCCTTTTAAAATTGTACTTGTAAAAATGTGTGAGTCCATAAATTGCTATTGGTTCGTACACATAAATACAGAACTAATCATTAGTCTTTTGCCCCTGTGTCACATTTGTTTCCTTTTTGTGACTTTTCTTAGTCATTCCTAATTCACCCTCCCACCGTGGCTCCATAGCAGTGGTCTTCAAAGTGCGGTCCCTAAGGCCCCTGGGGATCCCTGAGGCCCTTCCAGTGGCTCTGCAAAGTCTAAACTACTTTCATATTAATACCAAGACGTACGTGTCTTTTCCTCTTATTCTCGTGAGCAAACAGAGCTCTGTAGATGCCAGTGCAGCGCGGCCACTGCGGGAGCCACCGTGGGTGCTGCTGGCTTCATCGAGAGGTTTATGAAAATGGGACTGCGCCACTCTTCTGACTTGTGATTTTTTATTCTGGAAAATAGAGAATATTTTAGAAGTTAAAAATATTCATGATGGATTTATTAGTTATATTTAGATTGATACATAAATTTTAGTTTTTCTAATATGGTAAATATCAGTAGATATGACCCATGTAAGCAAGGGCTTTTGGGGGTCTTCAAAAATTTTTGGCTTACAAAGTGATCCTGAGACGAAAATATTGGAGAATCCTTGCTTGGAGCGTGCTGATCTCCAGTGACTTCCCTGGACCGTGCTTGTAGTCACTCACATGGGAAGGTGGGCGAGATGGGGGGTGAGAGAAGTGGCGGAAGAAAGGAGTCCTGGGAGTGGAAGGGTGATTTCTTTCCCTTTCCTGCAGTGCCTTAGATCTGGGACAAGACTGAGAATCGGATAGGCCACGCATTATAAAGTCAGACCTTTGCAAGTAGAAACTGAATTACTGATAGACAGGAAAAGGATACGACGCATTTATTATTACTGTGTTTTGCCACATATAATGCGCACATTTGAGGGGAAAAGAAGGATGCGCATTATACACAGGTAGTATCTGAAATACCTTGTATCTGTTCTTGCATTTTGTAATTATTTGTTACATAAAATTTCTTGTACCATAATATGTTAAAAAATAAATGCTAAAATTTCTTTAGAATACAAAAACCAAGTATATAAATATAAATGAATAAAAAGCTGAATTAAAAAATTAAAATGAAAGATTTTTTTCCCTGAAAGTTCAGGTCAAAAATGTGGGTGTGTATTATACACGGGAGCGCATTATATGTGGGAAAATACGGTATTTTTAAGAATACTAGAATTGGAATGAAGCTCAGAATTTGTCTTGTCTAACCTCTTCATTTTGCAAATCAGGAATTTTAGGTCCAGGGAAGGTAGATAACATGCCCCTGACAACACATCCAAGGGTGTAACTGAGATAAGAACCCACTAGTCAATTGACCAATTCATATTACAAGTACGTATTAAATACCTGGTATGATCCAGCCACTATATTAGGCACTGCAGATCAACAGTGAACAAAATATACATAATCCCTACTCTTATAGACCTTACTTTCTGGTTTGGGGAGATAGGAAATAAGAAAGCAGTGTCATGAACTGTGAAGTCCTGGGATGTCGGTAAAATGGGACGATGCACAAGGGAGCCACTGTGGTGCTGCTTGGGAATCACTGGTCCAAGAAGGCTCCCCACGAGGCCATTCACTGCTAATTTGTTGACTGCCTGTTCATTTTGCAGTTTGGTCTATACTGGATTCCTCTGGATTCCTACACTTTTGGACTGATAGTTGAACTCAAGTCACCTCACTAAACTTCATTGTTTTTACCTTCTCCTTTAGCTTTTCTATTTTAGTAGAAAATGTTTTGATATTTGTAATTATTTTAAACCTGATAACATGCAGACATCTATAAACCCATGAAAGAAAATCCTCCATAATACAGAGAGGAAGTAAATATCTTGCTCTAAATCACTGTGCTCTGTATTTATTCCCTTTCATGGTAGGTAATAGTAGCAGGATGGACAGCCAACTTTGTCTGTGACGTTTACTGTTATGGCCCAGCACATAGAAGAGGGCCTAGCTCATTGGAAGGCACTCAGTGAACCCTTGGCAGATGACTGCATCAGACGCCGTGGTTACAGAAAAGCATAAGTATCTGGTCACAGACCCAGGCTGAATCATGGCACAGCCATTCACTGTGACTCTGGGTCCCATGGCTTAGCCCCTGTCCGATCACAGCTTCCTCACTAGTTAAAACTGAGGAGTAATTTCTGTTTCCAAGAGAGTTTGTGAATACTAATTACCTAACCTCCTAGTTGTCAGCAAAGAGCTCAGTAAGTGTTAGTTCCCTTTTCCCCTCTTTGGTTAGGTGGGTAGTTTGCCTGTGGAGCAGATTCAAGAGGAGCACACAAGACAGAGTTGCTTTTCTGCATTTGGCAAACATTGGCGATGAGGTGCGGGTCAGGCCATTTTAACATAGAGCGATTTTTCTGCTCTTACCTTTTTTCTGCACAGCTTGTGTTCAGCTTCAATGAAAAGCTTTTTGGCTTGCTAGTGAAGGATATCGAAGCCATGGATCCCAGCATCCTGAAGGGAGAGCCTGCGACGGGCAAAAGACAGAAGGTATGTTTTATTTCCAATCATTTGTATTAGGTCATCTTCATGGTGTGAATCGTGCAGATTAATAGAATTTTCTACCCCTTCTCTTGTTCAGTGATTGGGCATTTTTTTTTTTAAGGCATATTTTTTTAATTTATTTATTTAATTGTTGTTCAAGTCAGTGATTTCTTTCATACTGTGTATTCTTTCTTTTATAATGGTAGGGAGAGGAAATTGCTTTTATAGTTAGCATTATTTAAATACAGCATAAAATACACTTATTTGCAGACCTAATAGTAATTTGGAATCTGTAATGCAAGTTGAATGATGATACGTATTGTAAGTAAATAACAATATGACAGGCATTATGGAAAGATATATGCATTGAAATAAAGAAAATAGGAATAACTGGAAGGTAGTTATAACAAGAGTGAATGTAACTTAGGTAACAGTTTACAGATTTGCTCTGCCCGGGAGACCTCGTTTCCCTTTGTTTCTGGCTTTGCTTTGAGAAGTCCAGGAGTCTGCCGTTAGACTGCTGTACTAATTATTGTCTCTCTGCACAGATCGAAGTGGGGCTGGTTGTTGGAAACAGTCAAGTTGCATTTGAAAAAGCAGAAAATTCGTCACTCAATCTTATTGGTAAGACTTACAGTTTTCAGGAGATTCTGAATGAAGTGGGGTCATCTCTGTTATTATATGTGACCCAGTTGCGGTGATTTTCAAGTGGGGAGGAGAACAGGGACCACCTCCCTTGAGAAAGCGTTTCACAAAACCACAATGTGCTAACGAAGAAAAAGTTTAAAATCGTCACTAGACCAGCATCGTCCCATAGAAATATAATGTGGGTCATCTGTGTAATTTTTAATGTCCTAGTAACCACACTATAAATAAGGAAGAAGATACAGATAAATTAATTTATAAAGTTTTTATAACGAGATAAGTTTCGGCTCACAGAAGATTTGCAAAAGTAGCTCCAAGAGTTCCTGTATACCCTTCACCAGCTCCCCGTGATGTTACATCTCAAGTAACTATAGTGCAGTCACCAAAACTAAATTGTCACGGTGACATTGCTACTAACTCAACTGCAGACTTTGTTCAGATTTCACCAGTTTTTTTTCACTATGTCCTATTTCTGTTTCAGGATCCCGCATTGCTTTTAGTTGTTCAGTCTCCATAGTCTTCTGCAGTCTCTGGCAGCTCCTCAGACTTTCATGGTCTCCCATGCCCTTGAGACATGTGGTCAGTTATTTGTGGAGTGCCTCTCACCTGGTGGTGTGTTCAGTGCAATACTAGCATCACTTCTGTTAGTGATTGAATTAAATGATGAATGTGTAGGGAAGAAAGTCTTTGTAGCAGATTCACAGTTAAGTCATACTCTTTTACATTGGCCCTCCTCTTATTATATTAAAATGATGCAGATTTGGCTGTAAGGAGTAACTCACCAGTAACTGAAGTTACTCCAGTAGAACGTAGAGAACTTTCATTGGTTGCACGTTACCGTATCCATGGTTACTTAACTGTCTTAGAATGTGTGGCCTTTTTTCTTGATTCATAGATTATTATTACCTCTTACTGTCATTTTCTTGATTACAAAGTAAAATAATTATTTTATAAAATGTGGATAGACACCCAAAGACAACCCATGCAACTCTAAAATTTTTTAATTTTATTTTAATACTGTTTCATAATTTGTTCTTTCTGCTTAACGTATTTCAAGCATCTTAATAAATACACCTTTTCAACATAATTTTTGATGACTGTACGTGCCATTTTATGGATGTAGGATGTATCAAAATCTATTATAGATCCATTTCATTTTTATAGTAATTTCTTTGTATTTTGTGTTTCATACACCTTTTGTTAAGGTATCTTGTCCCAAGGGCATTGTGTGGCTTTCATACAATGTGGATATTTCTTTTTTTAAATAGTTGCATGTCATATTTATTTAATACTCAGTTTTTAAGATATTTCCTCATACTTTACCTTATGTACAGAGGATTAGATGTATATAGTAAGTTATCAAGTTTCAAATGTCAGTATAGCCTGTGCAGACAAGACAGTGAACTGAGATACAAAAAAAACTAATAGATAGATAGATACAAGAGATTTTTTATAGAATATACTAGGACATAAAAATGGGCTTACCTATATTATGAATTAATGCTCCTTTTTTTGTTGTTGTTCAATTGCAGTTGTCCCAATTTTCCCCTGTTGCTCTCCTCTGCCCTCCCTGCTTCCTCAGTCAATCCCCACCCTGTTGGTCATTAACATGGGTCCTTTATACATTTTCCTTCAATGTGGGTATTTCTAAGTAATTCAGGCAAAGGTGTGGTTGATAGGTTTTTCCCATTGAAAAATAAAATTATGTCGCGATTTAGCATGCAGTAGGTTTGGCCACAAGAGGGCAGTGGAGTGTAAGAAAACTATTTTCCATAGCTTTGTAAAGGGAATGTTAAGTCCGCAAAACTCTAACCATAAAACTGCCATTTAAGATAAACTTTTTCTAATGCAACCTTCTCTTCCCTAATTAAAAAACTATAATATTACCTTCTTTTTTTTACTCATAGCAGAGTGTACTAAGGAGCTTTTATTCTTTGTGTTTGTGATCATTAATGTGATTCTCTTTAAGTTACTTTAGGTGGCACTATGACGTTTAAGTTACGTCATTTTATGTCTGAAAGAATTGGAAAACATGAATTTTGAAATCATTAAAGACTTTAGGATGATTTTAGACTTTTGTGTACAAGTGAAGAAAGAGCAAATAAGACATTAATCTTACTCAGGCCGAGGGGTTATGTATTCAATTATAAACTTAATCTAGATGAATATAGTGTGTATTTCTAAGTATACTTGCTGTAGGAGCCTGGAGAGACTGCTAGATTTCAGTTGCATTTCGGGCACCCAGTGTTGTCTTCATCAGATGCGCACATGGTGTTTCTTCTAATCAGCTAAATTAGTTAACGTGGTTAGGGCTACAGGTTGATGAGACCAAGCTCCATGGGTTGATTACAGATGGACCGCAGCATGAGTTTAGCGAGTCGCTGTGAAAGTGTTTTACTGAGCCCTGCACGGGGACCAGACAAAACAGTGAACACAGCACAACATCCTCATTAGAAAATAGCTAAGAGTGTGGTGTTCATCTTCGTGTGAGGGTAGCTTCTCTTTGTTCATTGAAGACGCCCGTGAGCTCAGTGTTTTTACACTTTCTGACGAAGTTCTTGTTTCACACTTGATTATCTCTGTTTGACATAGGCAAAGCTAAAACCAAGGAGAACCGCCAGTCTATCATCAATCCTGACTGGAACTTTGAGAAAATGGGAATAGGAGGTCTGGACAAGGAATTTTCTGATATTTTTCGACGAGCATTTGCTTCCAGAGTGTTTCCTCCAGAGATTGTGGAGCAGATGGGTGAGTTTCAAAAGGAAAGCTTGATAAAATCTCGTGTTGTGAAGAAGAAATAAGTGTGATGAAGTCTCTTTTCAGTAATATTCTGATATCATGCTTCAGACCTACCTAAGTATTTTTTTCTTTTAACTTCTTTTAAAAAAAGTTTTCTAAACAATTTTTTGAAGGGTTAGAATTTTTTGAAATTACATTTTAAATTTAGGAGGAGATCATAGAAATGTTTGTAGGTTTGCTCCATTTTATTTATTCAAGTATGTTTTTCTACTGGACATATTTGGAAACTTTATTTATTTATTAATGTTTTTACATAGGGAATGTTTAGAAATTTCCCCTAACTCCAAAGATCCACTGTGGGTAGGCTTTATTTACCCCGCTGAGCAATCATCTATTAGACTGTAGGCATTTTCCAGTATTAGCTGCTGCATCTTTGTGATGTGCTGTTATATTACTTGATGAGTACATCTTCATACTTAGTAAGTGGATACTTGGTTTTTAAATTACATAAGTTTGATCCAATAAGACAAATGCAGGGTATATAGGAGTTTCCATATTGCATACAAAGAAATGCACTGTTCATTTATCACTGTCTTCTTGAAGGTTTATTTAATTTATCTGTGTGAAGTGGCGCTATTTGCCCCAGTGGAAGTGCTGCCGTGACTGTTTTGCCATCCATATTATAGTTTGAATCGGAATGTGAGCCACAGAATATCTCAGAAAGGAATTTATAACAACAGCTTCTGGCAGATGTAGTATGAAAACAGTCTCCCCCAAAAAAACCTGAAGGAATATGAATATATTACTTCTCTTACTCCCATCATTCTTTATTTTTAAATTGCTACTGGAGATAAAAGTATATTCACAGTGGGGGGGATAAGAACGGCTTTCTAGGCCCTAAGTGCTTGGTCCTCCCGGCCTTCTATTGTTGGTAGCTTTTCTGCCTGGCCGCTCACTCTGGTAAATTACAGGCGCAGCACACACCTGCTCACTGGGTAAAGGTCGAGCTTGGAATTGGATTAAGAGAAAATGACAGAGACCCTCATCACCTGAGTTTTATACACCTTGAAATGGCAATGACATACTTTTTTATCTGAAAGATCCAAAGGCCAAGTCCATAAAAAACCATTTTAATCTGGAAAATAGTAAAAAGCATGATAGTTCACTGTCTTGGCAACGTATATTTGGAGGCACAATAAATCCATAATGTTTATTTGGAGACATGGAAATATCGTTTAAGCACATCGTGGGTGTAGGCAGACACGACAGGATGATCCCAAATGTTGTACGTCATTCCTGTAGAATATTTTTTCTGGGCTTCAAAAGCGAGCTCTGGTACAAAAAGTAAATGATTCTGTTTCTTTGAACATCATACTATCCAGCCAACAAGTAGAAGAATAACCACTCTGTGAAGCCATATATTTTAATTATATTATAAATACTTTCTCACAGTGGCAAGCTACAGAGGATCCGGATATTCAGACGCTAGGCTTGTGTTTGGGCCTTATCTAAACGCTGCTCCTTACGGCCTCTGTCTGAGGTGGGCAGATGACTCGGAAAGCGTAAAACTCGTATTGGTTGACTTGTGGTCTCGCCAGCCGTCGAAGAGTTTGAAAGTAAACCAAACAGACAGGAGATTTCTGAGTGAACTTACCAGTAGTCTGTGTTTCCGCAGTCCATGTAGAAACCACTTGAATTGTAATAGTTTGCTTTTGTTTTTGTTAACATGGTTTTTGACTAAGGACCATGGACTTGAATTTTGTTTGCGAGTGATACTATTTAGGACCCTTGTTATGTATTTATTCTTCTAATATCTTTACACTAATTTACTTAAACAAAAAGAGTGCTGTCCTTTAAATTTTTTTTTAATTGATTGATTTGAGAGGGAGAGAAACACTGATTTATTGTTCCACTTACTTATGCATTCATTGGTTGATTCTTGTGTGTGCCCTGGCTGGGGAATGAACCCTCAACCTTGGTGTATCAGGATGACACTCTAAACAACTCAACGGGGCGAGTTCTGTCCTTTTTTAAAAGTAATGTATTTTTTCTCATCATGGCTTTTTGCCATCGAGAATCATGTGCTATCAATTTGATTTAAGGAAAAGTAAGTATAAGCTACCTTGGCTTTTGAGCTGGATTGAAAGGATTTTCTTTATTCTAAATGAAGATTCGCAGCGTCCTAAAGCGACTTTTTAAAAGGGCTCTGAGTCAGTAATTCTCTTGCTATGCAAGTGTCATTCCCTGTTTTCTAATAGAGGCTTTTTTTTTCCTTTGACTTTTGAGGAAATCCCTTGTAGAATACTTACTGTACTCCAAGTACAGTGTGGTTATAAAGTGCCCATTAGGCTTTGGTAAAGATACATAAAAGTGCAAATTGCTACTTTTGGATAGAATGTAAAACAACGCCACGCAAGTCCTTTTTATATTTATCCTGTGATCTTTTACCCTGCCAGGTGGAAACAAATTGGCTGATTATTTTCCTCACCCTTTGTTGACTAAATAGATAAACCTTTGTGGTTGTGCGATTCATTTGGACACTGGATACAATTTGTTAAATTAATTCAAATTAAAAAAAATAGTGGTTAGGAAGGAATAATTGTGGGGCTTTTTAAAAATTTTTAAGTAGAGAATTTTTTTACTTTTGGCTTGAGACCAAATCACTGTCTTTACCATGAAGTCTAGAGTTATGTCTGCTTTGTACACAGGAATTTTTTTTTTTTGGTACACAGGAATCTTAACTAAAAGGATTTTTTCTAACTTTTGATGCCTATGCATCCAAGTTGGAAGTGCACAGCGAGATAAATTTAGAATTCTCTTTTGTCATGCTTATGAGACTGATAATTGTGCATCTAGGTAGTAGAGTTCTTCCCCTTTGCTTGTAAAGCTTCAGCTGCTTTTCAGATCGAAAGCACAGTCTAGATACGGAATGTCGCTGATGAGACTCAGGAAGACCAAAGGACTAATCAGAGACACACAGCTGAGAAGTAAAACTGGGGGTCAGATGAGGTGATATAGATGGAATGAGTGTCCTGTACTGGGCGGGGCAAAAGTAGATGAACAGTTGTGCGCACAAAAACCAGTTTATCCTTGTATTACTATTTATTAATTATTGTATTGTTTTCCACATGAACAACTGTGAATCTGCTGCTGCCCAGCCCTATCTGTTAGTTTCTGATCTGTTAGTTTCTTTCTTGAAGTACTTTCAGTTATGTGGTATAGTCCTTCCTGTTCTAGTTACACTATTTTTACAGCGTTAAAATCAAGAAAAGCCTTAAAGGGAGAAAAGTAGTTGCGTATAGTCCTGTAGACAGAGGAAGAAAGGCCACGTGTAGAAATAGGAAAAGGGATTATTTAGGGGGGTATCAGTTTAGACTTTTGCTTTTGTTGTTGTTGTTTTCACCAGTGTAACTGTTTATTTTTTCCTTGTGCGTAGCAGTGGGACTCGCCCAAGCCCCTGCAGGCCAGCTCCTCCTTGAGAGTGTCCCAAAGCATTTGGCAAAGAAAACCGGGCCGATCCCTTGCGTGCAGTGGGTACCAAAGAGCTCTCTAGGCAGAATGTCCTCCAGCCCCTGCGATGATCCTTGTGTAGTTCCGAATGACCTTAGGTCCTTACTCTACGGAATAACAGAGGTGCCTGTGGGGTGCCGGGCCAGGAATGTGCATCCAGAAGCAGACTCGGGAAGCGCAGGCGAACAAAGTCAACAGCTGATTGCTGTCCTTGAGCACACGCAGATGTCAGCTGCGTCTGTCCTTCCGTTCGGGGATGCGCCACACCTTGTCCTTTGCATGCGGTTTCCGAGAGTGCTCGGGGTAAACAGTTGGTTGCCTCAGTTCTCACTGTAGCTCTTTTGTTGGCAAAGATAGAATTGCTGCAAAGAAACTTCATTTTTCAGCACCCCTGGCAATTACTTCTAAACTGTAAATGTCAGAGCAAAAGCACACAAAGCCTTTTCAAAGAGCAGTGGAATAATTGTGAAAGAATTAACATCCCTTAGTGTAATTTTAGGACTCGGTTCACATATATCTAAAGAAAGAGGCTTTGGTAGAAGTTACCGTTTTAGAACTAGAAGGAAAAGGGTATGGGGACTTGAGTCTCAAGCCTCACACTGCCCTGGGGGGGATCTGTACCGCTTCGGTCCCCGTGGCCACCTGGAGGGCCGGAGAGCCACTGCCCTGGTCTCATGCCCCTCTTCTTTCAAACTGACCGTGGGTTCTCTATGGTCCCCTTTCCTCTGTGCCTCCCTAAGTCCATTATCAATCTGTATTTTTAAGGTTTCTTTCGAAACTCTAGAGGAAAGCAGCTCTTTTCTGGTATCGTGGGGAAGACTGCAGTTACTCTATGAGTGGAGCTGCCGAGAGATAAGGAGCCTTTCAATCACACGCAGACATCTTTCAGATGCTAAGAACAGCACAAATAACGCAGAGTGGAAGAAAGGGCGCCAAGGTTTTGAACATGCCCTATTTGGGAGAGAGGGAGTTCTCGCTAAGATTAACATAAACACTGACACTGTTAAAATGCATTTTCACACCCCCACTCATGAGCTGAGATCGCAATTTAAATGGGGGTTAAGACATCTAGCCGAACTCCAGGGCTCTGTAAAAGGAACCCTAAGGCTAAAGAGCTTATCTGAAATTTGAAAAAAAGAAGCAAAAAATGAAGCTTTCTGACATTCATCTTTTCCCCTGTATTAGTCATAACTTGCTTTTCAGCTATATTTTAGGTTTTGAATGCCAGCCTGACATCTGTTCAAGTCTGCCTGTAATTTATTAGGAAAGGAAGAGAAAGCAATTGCTCACCGGTTAGAGATGCAAAGCTTCCCCTTCTGGTTTTCCTTAGAGTGCTCATAGATGATAGTTAGACATGAGGAATGTAACACTTTAATAATTTACTGATTCCAACTTCAGGTTGGAAAGTTTATATATTTTTTTAATTGGGAGAAGAAAATATCTTATGACCATGTGATTTCTCAAATCTCTAAAGCAGAATTTAGAGATCAAGCACTCAC